ATTGTGGGTTTATAGAATATATAAAAGTAAAGCGTATGACAGCAAAAAGAGGAGGGAGAAATTGTAAGTATGCACTGGTAAGGTTCTTAAACTATATGTGAGATGCTATAATACTGTTTGAAAGTAGCCTGTGATAAAATAAAGATGTATATTGTAAACCTTAGGGAAACCACTAAAAATAATTTAAAGTGGTGCATATAATAAGCCAATAGTAAAGATAAAATGGAATAATGATAATCAATCCAAAAGCAGGCTGAAAAGGAAAATGAAAAATGATCAAATGGAATAAATAGAAAGTAGCAAAATAGTAGGTTTAAATCCAACCACATCAATAATTATGTTCAATATAAGTGATCTACACACACCAATTAAAAAACAGAGATTGCAAGATTGGATTAAAAAACAAGACTCAACCACATGCTGACCACAAAATATTCACTTTGAACATAAAGGCAAAACTAGGTTAAAAGTAAAAGGATGAAAAAAGATATGCCATGCAAACAATAGGAAGAAGAAATCTGGAGCAGATGTATTAACAGCAGACGAGCACACATCAGAACAAGGAGTATCACCAGGGACAAAGAGGAACATTACAGATAACAAAGAGGTCAGTTCACTGTGAAGACACAGAATCCTATTTGTGTTTTCATCTACACAACAAAGCTTCAAAGTCATAAGGCAAAAATTGATAGAACTGAAAGGAATAAAACATAAATCCATGATTATGATTAGAGATTTCAACACTACTCTCTCAGCAACCAATAGAACTGATATAAGGGGAAGGGGAGTAAATACATACACGATTAGAACTTTAATTGGCATTTACAGAAGACCCTCCCTCCCCTCCAGCAACAACAAATATCACTGTCTTCAAATTCACGTGGGACGTTCACCAAGAGAGACCACAGCCTGGGCCATAAAGCAACAAATTTAAAAAGCTTTGAAGTTACACCAAGGATGCCCTTAACCACAATGGAAGTAAACTGGGAACAGCAACAACAACAGAACACCTCTGGAAGTCAAAAACAACTGTACATACAGGGAAAATTACAAGGTGACTGCAACCTATGGAAAAGTTCAGAAACCCTTGAGAAGATCATAAGTTTACACCTCAGTCTGACCTTTGGCACACAGACAGCCCACAAAATTTTGTTTAATTACAAAAAAAAAAGAAAAGAAGTAAACCCTAAGGTAGGGAGGAAACCTGATTTCCAGGGTCACCACATTATTAGATTCAAGTGTCCAGTTTCAACAAAAAGTCACAAGTTATAGAAAGAAAGAGGAAAGTATAACCCATTCAAAATATAAAGAAATAAATAAACAAATAAATAAATAACAGAAATTGTTCCTGAAAAAGACATGATGGCAGATATACTAGACAAAGACCTTTACATAACTGTCTTAAAGATACTCAAAGGACTAAGGAAAGGTGTGAGGAAAGTCAAGGAAAATGATGTATGAACAAAATGGAAATACCAACAAACAGAAAAACCAAAAAAGAAACCGAAAAGCAATTCTGAAGCTGAAAAGTACAATAACTCAAATGAAAATTTCACTAGAGAAATTCAAAGGCAGATGTGAACAACTAGCAGAAAGTATTAGCAAACTTGAAGATAGGACCACAGAAATTATCAAGTCTGAGAAACAGAAAGAAAAAAGACTGAAGAAAATTGATCAGAGCCAAAGGGACCTATGGAAACCATCAAGAGGACCCACATATGCATTGTGGGGGTCTCAGAAGGAGAAGCAAGAGAGAAGGAAGCAGAGAGAAACACACCAAAACTTATGGAACACAGAGAAAGTGGTACTATGGGGGAAATTTGTAGCTATAAACACTTACACTGAGAAACAAGAAAGATCTCAGATCAACAACCTAACTTTATACCTCAAGGAACTAGAAAAAGAACAAAATAATGCCAAAGCTGGCAGAAGGAAAGAAATAATAAAGGTCAAAGAAGAGACAAACAAAATAGAAAAATAACAGAAAACCAATGAAATCAAAAGTTGGTTCTTTGAAAAGATCAACAAAGTTGACTAACCTTTAGCTAGATGGACTAAGAAGAAACAGCCAAGACTCAAACTCTAAAATCAGAAATGAAAGTGGGGACATTACCACCAATTTTACAAAAATAATGAGGATTATGAGAGTATAATGAATAACTGTACTACCCAAAGTGATCTACAGATTTGGTGTAATTCCTGTCAAAATCCTAATGACATTTTTTGCAGAAATAGAAAAAAAAATCCTAAAATTCACATGGACTCTCAAGGGACCCTGAGTAGCCGAAACAATCTTGAAAGAGAAAAGAACAGGAACACTCACACTTCCTGATTTCAAAGCTTACTACCAAACTATAGTAATCAAAACAGTGTGGCATTGGCATAAAGACAGACATGTAAACCAATGGAATAGAATAGGGTGCCCCGAAATAAACCATTGCACATATGGACAAGTGATTTTTGACAAGGGTGCCAAGACCATTCAGTTGGGGAAGGCCAGTCTTTTCAACAAATGGTGCTGGGAAAACTGGATGTTCATATGCAAAAGAATGAACTTGTAATCTTACCCAACACATATATAAAACTTAACTCAGTAAGACCTAAACCAATGAAGTGCTTAGAAAAAAAAATAGGACAAAAAATTCACGACATTGGATTTGGCAGTGATTTCTTGGATGTGACACCAGAAGCACAGGTAACAAAAGAAAAAATAGGCAAATTGGACTTTATGAAAATTTCAAAATTTTGTGCATCAACAGAGTAAAACTCAACCTACAGAATGGAAGAAAATATTTACAAATCATGTAAGAGATTTATATGATAAGAGATTAATAGCCATATATAGAATCCTGAAACTCAACAACCAAAAAAAAAAAATACGATTCAAAAATGGGTGGAGGACTTGAATATACATTTCTCCAAAGAAAATATAAAAATGACCAATGAACACATGAAAAGATTCTCAAAATCACTCATCACTAGGCAAATTAAATCAAAACTTTGGTGAGATATACCTCACACCCATCAGGATAACAGCTTAAAAAAAAGTAAGTATCGGCAAGGATGCAGAAAACTGGCACCACCGTCCACTGTTGATGGGAATGTAAGTACAGTCACTGTGGAAAACAGTATGGCAGCTCCTCAAAAAGTTAACAACAGACGTAGTGTACAATCCAGCAATTCCATGTCTGCATAGACACCCAAAAGAATGGAAAGTAGGGTCTCAAAGAGGTATCTGAACACCCACATTATACCAGTCACAGTAACTAAAACTTTACCCAGGTATCCATCAGGAGATGAACGGATGGTCAGAATGTGGTGTGAACATACAACGCCGTATTCTTCAGGGTTACAGAGGAAGGGGGTTTGGCAATATGCCACAATATGGAGTATGCCAGGAACATTATGCCAAGTGAAATAAGGCAGCTACAAAAGACAAAGACAGTTTTGAGCAGACTGTCTTTGCAGTCCCAAGGAAATGTCCGGTCTTGAGAGTCGCCATGTGGGGTTTGTGGTGAGCTAGGGGTGTTAGGCTGCCTCTCCCTTCTGAGGTTTCAGAACAGCCGTGGCAGAGGTCCTCAGGCCCCCAGAGGCTGGCTGCTTGACTCTGTGATCCCGGACGCTCCCCCAGGCCCAAGACAACAACACTGTCAGCTCCAAAGAGCAGACGCGGCTTAATTTATGGAAGGAAAGGGCTAGGGAGGAAAACCCAGTTAAATGCACTCCCACCAACTAAATCTAGTCTTTGTTTATCCTTCTCCCCTTGGGGACCTCAAGCCTCTGATATTCCCTGGAGTCATTGTTCTGTGGCTGGATGGAGACTGTCTGGTCACCAGTGATGTAACCCAAAAGGTCCAAAGGTCCAAGGTCGATTCAGGCTCGCTCGGAAGGAAGGAACATTTTATCACAGAGCAGAGTCTAGCCTTTCATGGGACTGTCCGTTCTGGTCCACTGTCAGATGTTTCCAGAGTTGAGTTTTATGGTCATTCCTCTCCTCCTCCCCAGCCCTCCACCTCTAAGTATTTTCCCAGCCCTGTTAACAGACAGCAAAGCACCACAGATGCAGATGAGAGCAAAAATTTAGGATTTAACTCAAGACATTGTAGTGTGGTCCTGCCAAGGTAAACACACACACATGCGCGTGCATATACACACAGAGTATTTTTGAGAGGGAGGTGGGGAATCAGATCCAATTAAAAAGTATTAGAACAGAAATTCAGAAGAGCACATGAGGAGGAACCTGTAAAAGAAGCCCTCGCTGATGCAGTCAGTGCCGTGACCTGAGAAACGTATGAACAAACTGTTATTTACAACTTCATGAGAAACCTTGAACAGGTGCCACAAAGTAATTTACAGCATAACCTGCTGTGACGCCCAGAGACTCTTGTGCACCTGTCACACCACGGAGCACTGTTTCTGGACCAGTAGCGTCACTGTCACCTGGAACTTGTCAGAGATGTGGAAGCTCAGGTCCGCGCAGGACCTACTGCCTCGGGAGCTTTGGGAAGAGGGCGCAGCGCTGTGTGTTTTAACAGGCCCTGCCGGGGGTTCTGACGCGCGCTCACGGCAGAGAACCACTGACAGCGCTCCAGAGCTGACGCGGCAGAGCAGGGGCCCCCGGGTGGCCGCGATGGACGTGCGCAGCCCACCGAAGGCGCGGGCAAGACCAAACGCAGGAAAGACAGAAGCACCACTACTGGACCCGGGACGTGAGGAAGGAGCTCTGAAAGGTGTAAAGAGAGGACAGGAAAGGAGGAGAGGTCACCTTCAAACCACAATTTGGGAAATAATTGGAGAACATTTTCCTGACCGAAAGGTGATCGTGGCCTGAGCTGTCAAGGGCTCACAGAGTTTCCTTCAAGAAGAAAGAATCCTCAGAGACAGGGCCCCAGGCGCCACACATCGGGTGACTTTTTTTGGATACTTCCTTACGTTTTAACTTACTTCTTCAGATACAGCCTCAGACTTACCGCAGATTTGCAAGGGTGGTACCAAGACCTTCTGGAATAGCCTTTACCCAGACTCACCAACTGTTTACATTTTGCTCAGTTTGCTTTACTGCTTCCTCCTCTATCTAAATATTTGGGGCAGGGGGGTACAGCTCAGTGGTAGAGCACATGCTTAGCATGCATGAGGTCCTGGGTTCAATCCCCAGTACCCCCATTTCAATAAATAAGTAAATAAGTAAATCTACTAACCTCCCCCTCAAGAAAGAAAAACAATTTTAGAGGAAAAAAGTTACCACTTACGAATAAATAAATAAATATACATACATTGATTATACACATGCATTTTCTCCTAAATTTAAAACTCAGTTGCCGCCATCCTGCTTTTCAATGTCTAAATATTTCAGTATGTATTTCCTAAGAACACCTTCTCTTCCATAGCTCCCTAAAATACAGCACTCTCACATAATCATGGCACAGTTGTCAAAATCAGGAAACTTAACCTTGACATAATGTTATTCTCTAATACTCAGTCTATACTCAGATTTCTTTCCATTGTCCCTTAATGTCCTTTTTAGCTGTTTTCTTCATCATTCCAGATCTAAGCCAGGAGCACACTGAGTTGTCACGTCTCTTTAGCCGCCTTCAGTCGGGAACATTCATTCCCTCTGCCTTTCCTGACCTTTAATGATCGTGAATTCAGGCCACCGGTTTTTGAGACTGCCCCTCAGGTGAGGTGCACCTGGGGCTTCCTCGTGCTTAGATCCAAGCGTGGACTTTGGGACGGGGCCCCGATCCCGTGTGCTCTCAGTGAACTGGATCAGGAGGCACAGGACAGCTGTTTGTCCCAGCGTGGGTGATGCTGCTTCTGACCGCTTGGTGAGGGGAGCGTTTGCCAGCTTTCTCCAATACAAAGTTACCGTTTCCCCGACTGCAAGTGGTAACTCATTGTGGGGAGATGCTTTGAGACCATGTGTACCAGTCAGGATGGAGGTCCTAAGACTCTCAGAGGAGCAGAACCGGCTTATGCAGCTGTGGGGGTCAGTTCCCCTCTAAGTGAGGTGTTCTTTTCGTGTCTGGTGCCAGAGCCCCGAGGCCACAGTCCAGATGAGAAGATGGACATAAAGTGGCGGGAACACCCGGAAGCTGTGAGGCTGAGTGGGAGCCCATGTCGGTCCTTCATCATCACCTTCGAGACTCTGGCTTCCATGAGGGGTGTGTCTGGCAGGAGAAGCTGGTACTCCTCCTCACAGAGCTAGATACACGCCTGGCCCAAAGGTGGGAGACGCTGCAGAAAAGGGTCACAGAGCCCGAGGACCTGCTCAGCCGTCCCAGTGAGCCAGCAGACAAGTGACCGCGTGTCAGCTCCAACAGCACCGCCTCCCAAGTGCATGGGAACAGGGGCGCTCCTTCCCTCCCTCCAGGGCGCTCATAAAACCTTTCCCGTGTGGCGGCCTAACTGGGCACAGTGCGGGGAAGGGAGTCGAGGGCGTGTGCGTCCAGCTTGGCTGCCCTGACGTGGTGCAGATCCGCCACACCGTGTCAATATCCTGTTCCTCGTCAAACCTGGACCCACTCGCTTCGCATCCATCGTTCCGCTTCTTACTCCATCATCCTTCCTATACCCGTTAGTTAGCGTTACACTGTAAGGAGGGCTTTTTCCTCTCCCCTACTTAGTTATTAGTCCTTTATTTATTTACATGAGTACAGACTCGGGGAGTTTTGTTTTATTTTGTTTCACGATCTGTTATTATCTTTGACACTCAACTTGTCCCAGATTCGGCCAGCGAGAGCCGGTTCAACCTGGCTGCCCCATCCTTGACGTGTCACCCTCATTCTTTAAGCACGTCCCTCCTTCCTGGCACAGCCAGGTAGCCTAGGTGCTTCTTGGGCTTTGCCTGTCGGAGCCCTGGAATCAGCCCCTTCTCTGAGGACCTGAAGTTTCTTTTAGGGGGGACCAAGGTCTGGGTGCTGAGTGTGTTCACTGCTAATGTGTTGTTGCTTCCAGGTGCCTCCAGGCACAGAGCTAGTGCACACAGACACACACAGAGACATGCACAGGGACACACTCACATGGACACACAGACTCACGTACACACGTACATGTACACGCATGTGTGCACACACACACACACTGATTACACACTGACACCTCCAATCTCATTTCTCTTCCAAAACCACAGGGACTAGCCTCCCCCTCCCCTTTTCCACAGTTGCAACTCCTTCCTCCAACTGCGAGAAACCTGGGTTAAGTTTTACTCATCAAGGACGACTGGTTCCCTGAAGGTATTAAGAAGAAAAGGGGAGATGACAGTGACTTCACACCTTTGCCCTCGGAGTTCACAGGAGAGATGGGCTTGGGAGGAAAAGCTACCGACACTCTGAGCAGTCACTGCTCACTCACTCAGCATCTGGCCCAGGGTGCTTTTCCCTTTAAAACACAGGTTCTCAACTGAGTGCCTAGCCCATGTCCCGAGAACACTCTCCTTATCAGTGTGTAAAATTCACATTGACAACAACGTTGTGGGCAGAGGGACTTCTGGGCGGGGTACGACCTGCTATGAAGGTCAGGTTAAGATGAATTAAGTCAAGCCACCACAAAGACGACTGTGTGTTTATTGAAGCCGTGAGCACTTTGAAATATTACACATGCAATAAACTTAGGCACTTATACACAATAAGCTGTCCCACCCACGTGGCTGCCAGCCCTGAAGGATGAACAGATGAGTCACACCCGGGCACGGATGTCCTGGCGCTGTGGCAATGATTCTTTATAACTCTTGTGAACATGGGCGCCATTGCCTCAACTTTTTAAATTCCCTCGAGTGACAGGGAGCAAATGTCTTATTTCAGACTGTGCCACCGACACGCAAAGCTGAGAACGACTATCCTTAAAAAGAAGAGAGTCTTTCCAGACTTAGAAAATGTAGAACAATTTGCTAACAAAAATCTCTAATCTGAGAACAACACAGGAAAAAAAAAAGTGAAGACTGGGGGGGAAAAAAAAGGTGACCAAGGAAAGGTCTGTACAGTCAGAACATCATTTGAAATTCGAATCAGTGGATAAAGCTGAACTTGAGGAATACACAACAAATAAAATTGGGAAGGGATTCAGGTGAACGAGGTACAACCCAAAGGCCAGGTGGGAGCGAGAGGAAGATAAAAGGAAATCAGTCTAAAACAGCGAGATTTTTTTTCTCTCTTCTGTTAACTTTGTTCATAGAAATGAGCAGGAAAGCAAGTTTATAGAAAACATGTATGGTGAAATAATGATTAACTTATGAGCTCATTGTAAGGGAAGTGACAGTGTTTGAATCCACACAGAAGTCACGTAGGTGAAAAGAGGACATTGTCACCATTAGGGGGGAGTGATAATGGACAGCACGGTGCTACGCTGTAGTTTTTAAAATCTATCAGGTGTCATCTAACAGCCACTGGACCAGCCGGGGGGCTGACCGGCAGATCTACTGAGCATCTATCTATGGAGAGGTGCCACGGGAATGAAATGAAGGTGGAGGGCCGGGCAAACCCCAGGCCATGGGCTTTAGCCATCAAGTTTCACACCAAAGAAACTCTTAGGGTCTGAGTCTTGCTCAAATCTTTCAACGTCCAGTGAGAAGGAGGGAGGGATTTTTGTAAGAAAACGTTCATTGTTCTAGCTCCGGCTCTTACCTTCTTTTGGGAACATTCTTCTGATAAACTGTATCTTTTTCTCTCCATGTGCATTTTGTCACATCCACAGTCTGCTGGGAGTGACTTGTGTCTTGTGTCCCCAAAGGATGTCCAGAACCTCCCCCCATGGCCTTAACGAGTCTTCTCAGCTTCAGTTTGACCCTGAGCTGCCCTCAGTTGCCCAGAGAAAGGAAAAAAACTCCTAATTCTAGGATCTCCAACATTTCTCACATTCATTTTGCAGGAAACGTTACGCATTACAATAAAAGCAGTAAACACCCACCCTTGGTGTGGTGTAGCCCTCTCTTGCCCTGTGGTCAGCCAAGGTTCCTGACCGCCCGTGGTGGGGTACTTTAAAGTCCCCTCCTCCATTTTTAAATTATGAAGCATTCTGCATATTTAAAACAGTATATAACATACACACATGGCTGGTGTCTGCCAGTCCTTACTGGTGGCCAGTGGTCACCCCGTCGGGTCCTGATTAATACCAGCAGGTATCCTGGTCTGTCAGTGTCTGAGGGGCACTGGTTATTAGGTATTTTCATTTTATATATGTAATAATAAATACCAAGGTACACACCAGCTGAAGAACAGAGCATTACAAAAACCTTCAAAAGCATTCTTAACAAGTAAACACTTGCACCATGAAAAGTTCAAAAAGGTGAAACGACATCCATCTTATCTCTCAGCTGCCTCGCCTCCAGCATATTCTAACAGTTTCTCGTGTATCCTTTCAGAGATTTTTATGTACAGACCAACAAAAATTGGATACAGGTATGGCTGCTTCTTTCACTGAGGGCAGCATGTAACTCAGAGTGTTCTGTTCCTGTTCTTCGGAGCCTGACGGTGTTCTCTGGGAGATCTCTCCACGTCGGGGCATCAAAGTCGTTCTCCACGTTGTAAAGAGCTGGGCGGCACATCGTGGTGCGGTGGTGCTGTGACGCACGCTGTAATTCACTCAGTCTCCACTGGGGCCCCACAAGGTGACTTCCTGATGTAACAGGGGACTTTGTACACACTCGCCTTGTAAAGACGCCAGTGCGTCCTGTAAGGCAAGGCCTTAGAACTGGGATTGCTGGGCTCAAAGGTGTGCGAGTAAGCATCCCGCAGGAGCACGCACACAGCCCTGGGACGAACCCCCAGGAGCAGAACTGCAGGGCCAAAAAGCACGTGTACTTAACTGCACACGTGTTCTCACCACGGGCTGCCCGAGCAACGTGGAAGTAACACTGTATGAACCAACTTCCGGCCCCTTCCGACCGGGGGCGCCAAAAGTGCTGCTGTGCATTTCAACTTTACGTTGCCTTCGCTGTGAGTGAGGCTGAGAATCTTCCTATATATGTAGGAGCCGCCTGCAGCTTCCTTTTCTGTGAACTGCCTGTTTTTGTCTTCTTCCTGTTTCTCCATAGGACTGGCAGTCTCTGGATGGATTTTCAGGAGCTCCTACTGTGAGAGAAGCTAGCCTACAGGATAGGAGATGCATTTCTCCCCCTTTTTGTCATTTGTCTTCTGACTTTTGCTGAGTTTCGCCCATGCAAAGGTGCTTGCTTTTTCACGCCGGCCGTGTTACTTTTGTCAACCTCAGTTGCCCCGAGGGCGGCACCAGTTCTGTGCTGACTCACTGGGCAACTGGCCTTAGCAACCGGGCAATGGTTTGTTTGAAGGCTCCGTAGCGCAGGGCAAGCTGTTCCTGTTACGGGCCAGAGAGTAAATAATCTGGGTGCCTGTTGCAGTAACTCATCCCCGCCGTTGCAGTGTGAAAACAGCTGCCGGCAACGCATATGTGAGTGCGTAAGGCTGTCTGCCAATAGAACTTGGGACGAAAGTGGACGGCGGGCTGGATTTGGCCCCTGGGCCCTCGTTGGCTCACCCTCTGGCACAGAGGCCATCAGGGGCCCTTCCTCCTCCAGGGTGTGACGCCGACGGCCCCTGTGTTGGGCCCCTCCTCAGAAGGCCCTCCTTGGCAGAAAGATTACTTCCTTCACTTCGCTTGCCCGAGTCCCAGCTTTCCTGCTGTCCCCGCAGCTCAGCAGACTCCTTCACGCTTCCCCACCTGGAGCCCCAAAGCCAGCTCCCCAGGCGGCTGTGGGCAGTCCACAGAGTTCTCTGCTTTACATCTGACTCGGAAACCAAGCACTCAGCCGGTGAGACACTGGGCACAGACACAGACTCAGTAACCGTGAGGCGGGGCAGCACCCTCTCAGCACGTCCCTACCCGCCGGGACGAGGGGAAGCACTGCAGAGGCATCTCCCTCCGCGGGGCCTTCCCTCCGGCCCGGCCCGCTCTCGGCCGGTTCCGCTGCCCCACACAAGGCTTGACCTTGGAAACCTGCTCTTGCACATTTCCTCCGCACACCAGACAACCTAAGAATGTACTGAATTGATGAGGAAACAGGTGTAAAAATTACAGAACTGTTTCAAGTGGCAAAGAAAAATCTAGCTCTTTAATTTAAACTACAGCAGACTTTCTGGCCTTGGACAGCACCCCGTCTTAGAGATGTGGCTGGGTCCTCACCTCCTAAGAACTAAGGACCTCTTGGGGGTTCTTTATAGAACCCCGATCGACAAAATTGGTGCCAAAGATGATATTATTTTAATATTATCAAGGCTTTATGAATAGATTCTTTCCTAGGACCCGTGACATTTTACATTAGGTACAGAGTAACTAATAGTAATTTAATTTTTGCTCAGTGGAAGAAAAAAAGCTAATTTTTCTTTTTTGCAAATTTTGTTGTTGTTACAACACGTAGGGGGATGGTACTCCTCAACTCACCAAATTCAAGTTGTCTTTAACATTTATGTTACATGCTTTTACACGGGAAAGGAATTTCCCCACGGGTGCAGAAATGGCAGCAATAATTAACAGCAACAAACAGCCAGTAACAAACGTGGCATCCTCAAAATGGAAATGCCCAGCGTCTCAGGCCCTCCTTTTCTTCTTAGGCCCAAATTCCTCGGATACTAACTTGTGAAATTCGCCGTTCACACAGAACTGAGCTAGAGCGCCCCCTGCCAGGATTTTAGCTGAAGTGTTGGAGGCCGAGTCCAGTTCCGGCTGTCACAAAAATAGAGCCAATAAGTGAGGATCATCAGATGAGCCGGTTACACACGGAGACATGAAATAGTTTGAACTCGCTTACATGAGAGGCCAGACTTAAGCCTAGGAAGACAGTTCATCTGTTCATTCCTTGAACAAGTATTTCTTGAGCACCAGCCAGGTACCCACTATAGCTCAGTGCAGGGGGTGAGACACACATTCAATACCTCACCTCGGCATCTTAAATGCAATCGTGAAAGCAACTGTAGAGGGAAAGACAGAAGAACTATGGGACCCGGCTGACGGTGGGGGTGAGGGAAGGCTTTCCTGAGGAAGTGACATTGAACTAAGCTGGGAAGGAGGGCAGGAGACGGCCAGCCAAGAGTGGGGTGGGGGGAGGGCGGGGCAGCTTGGTGAGAGGCATGGGGGGGACCAAAGACCAGTGTGGCCGGAGGGGAAGAGAGGCAGCAGAGCCTCGAAGGCTTCTTAAGGATTTCAGTTGTTATTCTAAGAGCAGCCAGCAGCTTAGGAAAAAGTGAGGTCATCGAATACGCATTTCTAAAGATGATGCGGGCTGCCTCGTGCACATGGAGCAAAGACTTGCAGGGGTAGCAATTTGGAGGTTATTGCTGCTGTTCAGGGAAGAGCGGTGGGGAGGGGAGAGAGAGAGAGAGACAGAGATCTTTGAAAGATACTGAGGTTGGAGACTGATGGGAGTGGCGGTGAGGGAGAGGGGGTCTGGTCTCCAGCTACGCCGAATGGCTGGCACTTAGGGCAAGGTCCTGGACAGCTTCTAGATGATGGGCACCCTTACTCAACATCGTCCACATGCTTGGAGTCTGGGGCGATCCCCAGCCCCTCCCTAGGATAAGCCAGACTCTGGCTACCCACTCACTGACTACCACCGAAGTATCCCCTCGGAGCGAGCTGAGACCTGCTTGCCTCTCCCCGCTAACTCGCAGGAATCACGTGCCCTACTCCCACATCTGTTGAACACGCCAACATCCAGGTCAAGAGTTACAACCTGAACTCCAGGGAGCGGTATGTTTGTAACTCGGGTTTCAAGCGCAAAGCCGGGACGTCCAGCCTGACTGAGTGCGTGTTTAACAAGACCATGAACATCACCCACTGGACCACTCCCAATCTCAAGTGCATCAGTAAGTAGCCGTCCCTACCCTGTTCCTCCACCCCCTTTGCCAAGGCCTCGCAGAGAGCAGCCCTGCAGTGTGGGCAGCTGAGTGAGCTAGAGGTCTGGGTTGAGGTCTGAGGCCAAATAAACCAATGGGCCTCCAAAACACACCTCCAGGAGGCGATAATACCTGGGCCTGGGCGGTGGGCAGCTGGCGGGGAGGTGGGGGGGTCACACAATTCTGAGTTCAGATCCTGGCTCTGCCGCTTAACCGTCAGTGAGACCGAGGGCGAGGACTTTAACGTCTTGGAACTCTTGGTTCCCGATCTAGAAAATGGACCGATGTCAACATTCTGGGTTGTAGGAGGATTTAGCGAAATCTGGTAAATATTAACTGCTCCTACCATCCATGCTTTAAGATCATGGCAGCAAGAATTCAGCTACAGACAAAGGCGTGTGCTCACGGTCTGCGTGCTTCCCGGAGAGCTTTCCCAGTTCCTCCCTGGGAGGCAGCCTGCCGCCCCTCCTTGTGGGCACCCACCCAGGCAATGGAGGAGACACACGGAGCACAGAATCCCTTAGCCCAGTCACCACGTCTGGGGCCCAGCCAGTGCTCTAGACCAAGGATGAGGGAAGGTCTTCAGTTTTGGTTCTTAACCATCCGCAACCGGACAACCACGCGAGAAGGGGAGCAATCTTGGAGTGGGAGCTGAGAGAGCTATTTTCAGGAATACAAAGCCCCTTATTCTAGAGAAGAAAAGGTTAACCCAGGGTCTAACAAGAGAATTATGATTTAACAAACACTTACTGTATACGTGGTGCATGTCCAGCCGTGATGTTTTCCCAAGTAACATTTGTGAAAATTCTCAACTCCTCTCTGGGGGAAGCAGACAGAAGGGGTTATTCAACAGCAAACTCACCGCCGTGGAGCTCCGAGAAAAGCCAGACTCTCTCATTGAATCTTTAGCGTTTAGATCACCCTGGGCGCCTCCCCTTCCCCTGCACGAGCAGCCCGCAGACCTCCGCGGCCAGGCAAGGAGGAAGCCTCCTGCTGGCAGCCGAGGTACCTGCTCCCCACCACGGGGCATCTCCTGCACTAAGGGGATGAGCTGGGTGAGGACGGGGAAGAGCCGTAACCCTGTGGTGAGAACACAGGTGTCTAACTCTCCAGCCAGGAGACCCACTGGGATCTGTAATCCAGGAGCAAAGAGAAGGGCTTTCTGCCATAGGGAGAGTGACCAAGTATTCAAAGTTCCAATTCCCTTGAGTAAATGAATTGAGACGGAGAAGAGCTGCAGGCTCTGAACAGAACTGGGCGGGCTGGGGGAGGGGAGAGAGAAGTGGGCGGGGCCTGGAATCAGAGACTTTTAGAACCCAGAGGCTGGAGGAACCTTCCGGTTTCATCCCCAAGAGCCCCCACCTTTCACCACTAACAATTCTCTTATTTTTCCCAAACTCTTGTGACAAAAAAAAACTGCTGAGTGATCATTTATTTTTATCACTGTTATCATTCCAGCCAAAACAAAAAGGCATCAGACACTTAACTTGCGCAATCTTTTTGAAAGGCTAGGGGAAAAATCAAATAGATTGCAGTCGGTTTGCATTTGCATGGAGCTGCAGACCCAGATCATTACCTATTTCTTATGCTTCTGACCTAGCCAGATGTGTCTGTTTTAAATGTATGCATTTACTTTTTAATTTACGTCCAGGTCTGAGCCACCCCGGGTTCCACCCTCAGGATGGTAAATGCCGTGTCCTTATCCTCTCTCTAGGAGACCCCTCCCTGACTCACCAAAGGCCACGCCCCACAACAACGCTGGCAGGGGTGACCCCAGGGCCAGAGAGCCTCATCCCTTCTGGAAAAGGTAGGAATGCCGGAAACTTCTTCCGGACTCCGATTCCCTGCTACCATCAGGACCCCACAGAGCCCTCAGATTCGTGGACCACTGCCGGAGTCCCACTGCAGACTTACAGAACAGCACACACCTTGGGTTCACGTCACGCCTAAGAATTGATACTCGTCTTCACTTTCCCTTTTAAACCAAAGTTGCTTGATTGCCAGGTTCCACGTGTGCATAATTGATGATGGCCTAAAATCCACTCCTGGTAGGTCAGATCACACTGTCGTAGACACACGGCCCTGGGACCGGAGGGGGCCTGGGGTTCTGCCAGCCTTGCACGTCAGCCTTCCCGGACCCCACGGGCGCTGGCTGGAATTGTGACCGTCCTGGGTCAGATACTCTCTCACCCAGCACAGCAGGGCCACCGACACATGTCATCAATTCCCTCGCCCCCACGTCCCTTAAACAGGCCTAAACAGACGCCCGGACGTAGGTCGCTGGAGAGGAAGGCAGGAACATGTCGCTCTGTGTTCCAGAGGGAGGGGCTGTCTCCACCTTCCAAGGCCATCTAAGCATCCTTGGAAAGATAGTGCCGGGAAAGGGCCATCAGCACCTCTGCTGGCGCGATGCACAGAAACCAAGGGACTGGAGCGGAGCCATCTCCCAAGAACCCTCACTCTGGATGCTTTAGGACAGGCGCTGGCACGGAGCTGCCACGTTCTTGCATTCCCACCAAGTCTTAGGTAAACTGTACCCCAATTTCCTCAGCACTGTCCCCATGTTAAGAAAACCCGAGATCTTGGATGCTAAATATCCTGGGACAATGTGTCCTGTATCCTCTGATACCCCGACTGGAACCTGTGGCCCACTGCGCAGTGTGAGGCTCTCCCTGGCCCCCATCTCCCTCCCTTCTGGGCACAGGCATCTTGCTCTGGTTGACAGAACGGCTAGCACGCGGGTCCTTAACCGTGGACACACGCTGAGGCCTCCATGGAGCTCTGGGTGGTCTGGGGAGTATCTGGGAAGTAGGGACACAGAAGTCCCCCCAGGGACTGGTACACAGCCAAGGTGAGGAGCACGGCTGGAAGATGGATGGAGAGGCCAGAGGAAGCTTTCCTCCCACTTAGCTGATGACAGACAGGAGGAAGGGGTTGGGGTACCGGCCAAGTATAAGATCGGGGTGATTCCAGGACCCTTTGATACAAGTCACACCCGGTTCAGGAGGCCTCCCCCAGCCTTGGCTTCATGCCCCAAACACTTGGTCCAACAAAGATGCCCGGGGAAATCTCAGAGGTGCGTGACCTCTGAGGTGGGTGCCGCAGCCATGGGCGCTGGATGGACACACCCTGCGGGGGGTGCACGAGGTGCTGACCAAGGGTCAAAGGGCATGAGGGCCCCTCCAGCACAGTGGCTGGGAAAGCGTGGGAAAGCGGCCCCAAACACATGGCGGGACAGCCCAGGACACGGGGATCACGGCCACGCGAGCTCACGCTTGGCTGCACGGCTGGGCTCCCAAGAGCCATGTGGTCACAGGGGAAGACCCCGTTTCCACGGAAGGAGAGCAGCGCAGATGTGCCACCATAACTGACGGGTTGGGGCAGCCGCTGGCCAGCTGGGGTCGGGGAAGAAAAGGATCTGAACACAAGGCACACGGACCACCCTCCTGAGATGAGCTGGTCACCCAGATCTGCTCTCCAGAGGTCAGACTGGCTGAATCTCAGGTTCCCCTCATTTCAAAAGTTTTGTGCAAACACATAGAAAGCAAACTAAAGTTGGCGTCCCATGGCGTAGAGTCTGCAAGCACAGTTCCACTCGTCTGTTTGAGATGGGTCTCTTGGTCTCCTACGAGCCTCTCTGGTAAGCACTTCTCTAGGGCCTGCTTCTACTCAGACCTTTGGGATCGTTAGCTTATGGGCCCATGATAATTAACTAAACCCCCCAGCGCTCCCCCAAGCCCCGCGGCCGTTCCAGGTGGATGAAGATGTTACCCACTTAAAGGATTTTCCCGGAGATCCGCGAAGCAGCGCTCCCCCAGGGGAGGGCTGGCCGGGGTGGGCCCACTAGAGCAAGCGTGAAGGCCACTCTGTCCCAGAGCCGAGAAAAAGACACTGTCCTACTGTCCTAAACATTCTCCTTGTCCATGTCTTGCACTTCCCTGCAGAGCCAACTTTTCCTTCCAAGTCAGATGCCCCAGGGGCCAGCGGGCCCACTACTGAACCAGGCTCCAGGCTGACGCCATCCAAACGTCCTTCTGCAGGAACCACAGGGGTAGTCAGGCCTGAGCCCTCCCAAGTCCCACCTCAGACAACAGCCAAGGCCCTGGAACACACCCCCTCCGTCTCGCAGGACCCGCCCGGTTAGTGCTGGCTTTGCCCCCTTGAGGAGAGGTCAGCCTCCCGTGCCGCTTCCGAGACGCGGATGCAGGCCTGGGGCGAGCAGAGCGTCGCACCCTCCAACCCAGAGTCAGGTCGATGGAGCGAGCAGCCCTCTGCCCCCTGCTCTCTGCCACAGCCTCCTTGCTCTGGCCTCTGCTCTCTGTGCTCCGCCCCGGCTCTGCTCCACTGGAAGAAAAAGCCTGTCTCGGAGACGGGACAAGGCTCAGCGTCTTAACCCGCCCGCATGGCAGAACCTTTGCCTAGAACCTGAGTAACAGCTGCCGCCTCTTGATATGGGAGGACGGAGGAAGCTTTCCATGATCTGGGGTCACGATGCGTGGAGGCGGGGGAGCACTCGGTAATCACGTCTTCTGTAAGAGCGTATCTGATTCTTGAGCATGGCCCAGCATCTAAGCGAATCACCCTGTTCTGTGCCAAAGCGAGTTTGGTTTCGCCAGCCGTTAATCTCTCGAGTCTTTTAAGATGAGAGCCACGCTGCACGGAACTTCTCCTGCTTAGTGAGAAACTAGTACCTTTAGGATCGCGGCAGTCACTAAGCTGCAATCTCCTCTCCGCAGGTGCAGGTCGATACAGGGCCAGAGCTGTGACTGGTAAGTGATCTGCCTTTGTCCTGGTGGTGCTTACGGTCAGGGGACCTCGGGCCAGGGTGCTGGACAGTCCTGGCTTACGCCTGCTGTCCCAACATGGTCACCAGCGGCTTCCCTGTTCACTCTCGAAAGTGTCTCTGCTTAGATGGTACATTACACAAGCCCCCTGATTCTGCAATCCCAGCATGCCTAGTTCTGTTAACGTGGGTTGATTCTCACGTCCAGCTATTCAGTTCTGCTAAGCGGGGCCACCCTGCAGGACCCATCAGAAGACCACAAGGTGGGGGGAGGGAGTAGCTCAGTGGTAGAGCACGTGCTCAGCCCGCACGAGGTCCTGGGTTCCATCCCCAGTCCCTCCATTAAAAATCAAATAAAATCAAAACAAATAAACCTAATTTCCAACCCCCCCCAAAAAGAAAACCCCAAGGGACTGCTGCTCTCACTAAATGATGTGGTTCTTCCACGAGCTGCGTGTACCCTTCACAGGGAGTTAGCACCAAGCCCTCAACAGCAACGTGCTCACACTCCTCAGCGTAAGGGGCTGCTTTTTACAGAAGACGCAC